CTTATGAACAGTGTGTTCCGACCATACTTGGACCAGTTCGTAGTAGTGTTCATCGATGACATCTTGGTTTATTCACGGACTCAGGAGGAGCATGCTAGACATTTGCAATTGGTTCTGAGTGTGTTGAGAGAGCACAAGCTGTATGCAAAATTGTCTAAGTGTGAATTCTGGTTGAGTGAGGTGACATTCTTAGGACATGTTATCTCTGCTACCGGTATCCAGGTAGACCCCAGCAAGATTTCAGCCATAGTGGATTGGAAGACTCCGCGGAATGTTCGTGAGGTGAGGAGCTTCCTTGGGTTAGCCGGTTACTATCGTCGATTTGTTAAGGGCTTCGCCTCGATCGCTACTCCATTGAACAAGCTACTGCGTAAGGACATCAAATTTGAGTGGACAGAAGCGTGCGAGCGCAGTTTTGATCAACTGAAAGAGTGCCTGACCCAGGCACCAGTCTTGATTCAACCTACTCCTGGCATCGAGTATACCATCTATAGTGACGCATCTCATAGCGGCTTAGGTTGTGTACTGATGCAGCTGAGTAAGGTAGTGGCCTACGCATCGAGACAGTTGAAAACTCACGAAGAGAACTACCCGACACATGATTTAGAGTTGGCAGCCGTGGTGTTCGCCTTGAAGATTTGGCGCCACTACATCTTTGGAGAGAGGATTCACATCTTCACCAATCACAAGAGTTTGAGGTACCTACTCACCCAGAAGGAACTGAATCTTAGACAACGCCGATGGTTGGAGCTGATCAAAGATTACGATTTAGTCATTGAGTATCACCCGGGCAAGGCTAACATCGTGGCCGATGCTTTGAGCAGAAAATCGTTAGCCGAGCTACAGCTTCAGTCCCCGTTAGAGCAGGAGATCCGTACAACACAGAGAAATGATGAGTTTTGTCAGAAGACTCGAGAGTTAGTTCCTACAGGAAAGAGGCCCGAGTTTGCAATTCGCGATGACGGAGTCTTGTACTATCGTGAACGCCTAGTGGTGCCCCGCGGTGAAGTGAGGGATCGCTTGTAATACACCTCATCTTCATAATAGTGTATTACTATCAGCGACCAATCATGCACGTGATTGTTACACAACCTCATTGCTTAATTATACACTAAATAAATGTGTCAATAATAATAAATTATAAAATTTAATATAGATTTTACTACATATGTCTTCTCATAGAACATACACATGATTTCTCTTTGTGATTTAGCAATGTAGTTATTACTCCTCTACGATCTCTGCTCCTTACCATATGCTAGAAGTCTTTTGGACACATCTCTATTACTGAGCGGTATTTAGGATAATTTATATGTTACAAATAGAAATTGAAAGATTAATTCTGAAAAAAGAAAAAGAGAAACAAGAAGATTGTTGTCGGACGAAAGGAGTATTTAATACCCCTCTGTCCCAAAATATATCTCACGTTTGTTTTTTCAGCATTCGCGAGAACTTTTGTTTATTTCTACGTTTTCATTGGTTATTTGATAAAATAAAATATTCTCGACGCCTCTTATTTTGTAGAACTTTTCATGTAGTTTTTTGATATGTAAATTGTAGTTTTTATTTCTATACCAATATATAAATAAAATAAATTGAAAAAACTTGATATTTTACCTCGGTAATAGAAAGGTGATAGAAATGTGACAAATATTTAGGGACGAAGAGAGTAACAACTTATTTTCCGAATACAGCAAGAACTTTTTTAATTAACACAAATATAATAATATAATTAGCTTTAATAGTAAAAATGCTTTTTGATGAACGCAAACGAATAGCAAAATTTAAATAAAAATTGCAAAATATATTTCCACATACCAACATCTTCTCCGGAATCTATTTTACTGGATTTTATTGGTTTTCTTTGTTTGTCTAGTAATTTCACTTCCAATAGACTTGAGGAAATTTCAGCTCAAATTTCCTCTTTTAGCATTCCTTTCCTGGCCAGGAGTCTTTTTGGGTTTGCTCTTCTAAAACAATTTGGGTCTCTATTTCAATCTCTTGCAGAAATCCCTCTGGGTTGTTGTTGTTGAAGTGATGCCTGTTATTTCCTTGAAGAGCCGGAGCTTCTCTCAAGTTACTCCGCATTTACTGCAATGGAGCCGCCAGCAGTTCCCGCCGGGGCGAGCTTAAACCCTAACGGCAGGATTTTCGGCCGGAAGCCTGATTTCGGAGGCGCATTTGATCTCAACGAGTGTCCTTCCGCCGCCGAAGGCTTTGGCGCGGGGGAGTGTGGCGGTGGGGGTTTGGGGATGGACGTGACTGATTTGAGAGTTGCCGGAAGTTCAACAAGTTCCGGCGTTGGATGCTCTGCTTTGGAGCATGAGAAGATCACTTATACGCAGCTCTTGACCGGCGTTGAATCTGGAGCACCGGCAATTGCAGTGGCCACTGAGATGAGTTCTTGTGGCATTCCTGGTAATCCTGTTTTTTTATGTGATTACTAAAACCAGTTGAATTTGATTTGCATGCGATTGTTTTGATCACTTTAACAGTAATTACTTGAAATTTTCAAAGTATCCAAGGAAAGGTAATCTGACTTGCAACAAATTTTGTCACTGCAAATTACCCCTTTTTTTGCAATCCTCATTACCAATCAAATCACCCTACTAATTTTCGTTTGTAATCCTCAACATAGAATGGAGTGCCTCAAAACCTCACCTTTCAGAAGCCAAGCTTTGAAGAACACTGCAAATTGTATGATTGTATTTGCAATCACTAAATGATCGTATTCACAAAAGCACGCCAAGCAATTATCCAGACAAATTCTTATTTATAAAGGAGCCAATTGACTCGCAACTTTCGGAATAATACATCATTCTATATGAGAATTATTCTCTTCTTTACACCAAAACAAAAGGATCCATATATACACACTTTCCGATTTCTTTGCTTGAACATTGACTTTTTTTTACCAAAAAACTTAGAACATCCACAGGGGAAAAAAAGCTAATTTTAGAATCTGAATAAACTTGCATCAAATGCTTCTAGGTAATATGCTTCACTCTCCTTTACTTCCTTTTCTGTCTCTGCTAATCCAGTTCCACTGACTTCATATACTCTCTCATTCATCTATCCATTAGTCCTAGGTCTCTAGGAGACTTGGAGTCCCATTGATTGTACTTCATATTTGGAGTTTAATTTTCATTGTACTTTATGGTTGATTTATCCAATTATTCTCAATCATGATTTATAATCTTGTTTGTCTCCATTTTTAGTGGAAGTGCATTGCTCCAATTTTATAATCTTGTATTCTTGTTTGTTAATATATCATTCGAGACTAATATATTTCATATTCCCCACCATCTTTTTGTTTTTAATTCTCAACTGACACTTTGCCCCTCAAGATTGGCTTTGATATCAATATTTTATTTACATAATGCTTTGCAGATATCAGTATGATTAGAACTCCAAGTCCAGTGGAGAAAGAAGAGGGTTTCAAGAAAAAGCGGCAACGAAATGTTAAAATGAAGAAACATAGACCCAAAATTTTTGATGATAGCAAACCCAGAAGGATCCCACGACCTGCTTCTAAAAGGGAAAGTGTGAAGAGGAAATATAATAGCGAAAACAGTCTTGGCCAATCACCTGTTTCGGCCATTAGATCGAGAAAGTTGCCCAAGCCTTCAGCTTTTAACCCTCAAACTCCTAAGCCATTAGCTAAGAAGAAGAGAAAAGGTACTCTCAAAGCATCAACGCACTGTTTGGAATCATGTAAACGAGGGATCAATTTCAATTTAGAAAAATCTGTAGAAGAAAATGAAAACAACATTTCCATAGAGACAACTGGTATAGATATGGAAGGTAATCTCAGCTCCTACACGCATCCACTATCCTTGAAGTTGGAAAATAGGTCACAGAACATTTATGCGACTAAACTCATCAATGCAGATGACAAGGGGGAGATTCTTGTGGGCAATAATAGGGCAATTGTTTCCCCAGATGACATTGGTAAGCAAACTGTTTATCATGCCAAGCAACCTGGAAATGACATCTTGAATAACTTGAGTCTCAACTTGAAACCAACAGAGTCAAGTTACAACTGCAATGGAGGCAAAGAGATGATTGGTATGGTTAACCAAAATGGATGCCGAAGTACCTCTTTGCAAGTTTACTGTAGGAAATTACAAGCCACTGATTTGCTGAGGTATAGTAGAAAGTTTGGGCCCCATTGTCTGAGTATATTTAAGGGGAGGAGGACAAAGAGACAGAAAGCACCTTTTTACAATTTAAGGTTCATGGAGAGCAACATAAAAAAGAAAGTGGTGCCTTCCGGATATGAACTGCGCAGTTCCTTCAAGCAATGTTTTGAGTTTACAATCAACCGACACAACCTTTTAGCAGTCCTTCCTATAAAAAGTCAAATGGAAGCAGCTATTGATGATCCAGAGTCTTTCAAGTGCTCAATTTCATTGTGTCCTATAGTGAAATCTAGAAGGAAAAGATCTAAAAGGTTCCCTCGATATTGCACAACACATTTGCAAGTGTCACATTCTACACTGGTGAAGAATAGTAGTGATTCAGAACTCCTCTGCCATGCTGAACACAGTAATATCCTGAGAGCTTATCTTTATTTTTTTAGCATCCCTATCTTGAACTCAGTAATCTGTATTTTAATGTAAAACAAATTGTTCTTGAAGTTTCACACATAAAAGAGGAATCCCCATGTCTTGAATCCACTCCCCAAGAAAATCTAGAGATAAGACGTAGTGCTTCCTCACACACCAAGGAAGATCCCTCGCGTATTGAACCTACTCTTCAAGAAAATCTTGGGCCAATAGCACAGGGTGCTTCTGGTAGAACTTGTCTTCATTTGTGTGCATCCTGACTGTAAAACAGTACCGTGTTAATTTGAGTTAAAGAATTTAAATTTAAAATATACTCCGTAATATTTATGGCAGGTTTAGAGTCTAAGTTTGGATCTGAAACTCGTCATGTACAAGATGGAGAGCTACCTGATATTGACTGCCAGCTAAAAGAAGCTTTAACCCCAACCGTTGAGAGTGCTTTCTCACACACCAAGGAGGATCCCTCACGTACTGAACCCTCTCTTCAAGAAATTATTGGGCTGATAGAACAGAGTGCTTCTGGTAGAAATTGTGTTCATTTGTGTGCGTCCTGACTAAACCATTTTACCGTGAATTTAAAATTAACGTTTAAAATAGAAAATTTATTGCAGGTTTAGAGTCTAAATTTGGATCTGAAAATCAGTTACTACAAGATGGAAAGCTATGTGATATTCAGTGCCACTTGATTAAAGCTTTCATTCCAACCATCAAGAGTAATTTCTCAAGGGCTAATGTTTATTTTTGTAGTATCCCCATCATTTAACTGTAATATGCATATTTATTTTAATGGCATACATGATTGCTGCAGGATCAGATGAAAAAGTGAAACTTAAAATCTATTCTCCTCAGATAGAAGCTACTTTCCAGCAAGGCCTTTTGCCAATTGCGCAGAGTACTACTAACACAACTCGTATTTAAATTTGTTTGTACCCTTGTGCACATTTTGTGTTCTCTTAATTTGAATTTGAAGTTTACTGCAGGGTCACAACCTAAATTTAATGTTAACAAACGCCGTGTACATCGTAAAAATGTCATGGCAGGAACAGGCAAGATATTCTTTTCATCATCAAGAAAGTTATTTACCCATCACACAAACAAATTTTCATTATAGTTTTAATATTTTTTATCACATTGGCGGCAAGTAATGTACTCTAATTTGGCTTTTTGTATATACAGGTTCACAGGTTGAATCCAAAGTGAGTGACATTGAGTCAATCATCCAGCTATTGGAGAGGCTGCAAATAAACGAGCAATACCAGCAGATAGTGCGGCATAGAAATCTTCAAGGTGCAATACTTCCCTACCAAAAGAAAATGGATCCTCAGAAGAAACAAAAAGTACCCAAGGTAGATCTGGACCCAGAAACAATCAGAATGTGGAATCTATTGATGGAGAAAGATGCAAGTGAATTGCCTAAGGATACGGAGGAGGAGAAGAGAACAAATTGGGAAGAGCAAAGGGAATTGTTTCGTAAACGTGTGGAAGTATTCATTTCCTGCATGCATGTTATTCAAGGTATGCCTAAATGTGCATCTTAAGGCATTTGTATAGCACCCCAGTGTTGCAAGGAATAGATTATAAAGATATAAATTTGTGTACTTAGTTTGAAAAACTAATTTAAAAAATGAAAGCTAGAGATATTGCCAACAATGAGGAAAAAGGTCACAATAAATAAGAATTACACAATAAATATTAAATATTTTAAAAAGTAATTAAAAACTATCATATTTAAATTTTAAAAATAGATTTGTAATATGACTCATTGGAAATGTCAGTGATGGGTTCGGAAAAGACTTCCAAATATGCAATGGCTTAAAACTTCAATTTATAAAATTAAACAAGAATCTTTCTTAATACGGATCAAATATAAAAGCTTTGTGTAGTAAAATATATGTATAATTTTAATGTTGGCTTATTCATATTTTTAAGACTCCATGTGTCCCAAATTAAATATCGGAAACTGAATTTAAAAAATAGTGAAATTATGCGGTTGAGATTTATGCAAAGCAGCGGGAAAGCCATTCAATGCTTTCCTTAAAAGTAACAAAAGCTTACTTTGAGATAAACCAAATAGGAAAGTGGGAAGTTTATTTGGGGATAGATGGAGTAGCTTATGAATGTTATAGTTGATACTACTATTAAATTAAACAGTTGGTGAACTATATTAGATTATAAAATTTAAAATGACTTATAAACTGAAAAAAATAGTTGGCGGAAGCGTGAAAATCATAGTTTTAAATTTAAAACATTTTTTTAGTTTTAATTCTAGCTGGTGTACATTCACTCATCATTTTTCTTTATAATTAACCTAATCTAAGTAAACAAATAAAATAAATAAATAAATAAATAAAAGTAGTATCAAGAAAATGTGCTGCGTAAATGTAATCTTACTCCCCCCTCTGAAATGCAGTTGCTTTCAATTAACTGTTCATCCATCTATGGTTTTCTGCATTATGTGCAAGTTAATAGTAGCTGTTAAAGCAAATGGCTGGTGTGTCCTTGTATAACATACTAGTAGTGTAAAGAGAGAATAGTACCCAATTATACTAAGAATTAGTGTAGACTCTAAAAAGCTCATTTTGGCAAACCATTAAGTAGGACAAATAAGATACTCCCTGTGTGTCACTGTTTTGTTTTGACTCCATTTTGTTGTGTCCAAATTTTGTATGATACCATATTTGGTATGATTTATTTGACTCAAATCATATTTTACCAATTTAAAGTCAACCACACAATTCCACTTTTCCTAAACTTGTTTGCCATGCCCTTGTCCCAAAAAATAGTCGGGTGGAGGGATTATAAAAAATGCCAAATAGAATTCATGTTCCATAAATCATATGCTGACTTCTATGAAATTCATACTAACAAAGAAAACACACACACACACACACACACATCAATTCGGAGCTTGAAGGATGGGAATAATGAGAAACTTTTAATTAAATACTCAAAAATTTAGTATCTTTTATATAGTCTATAGCGCAACTAAATTGGCTCTAACATCAAACTTAAAAATAATAAATAAAGACACCAACTAAAATGAATTATTCTGCAAATTGAAATTTTCAAAAATAAATATTCAGTGAGTTAACAAAGAAAGATAAAAAAAATAGTGAAAATATGTGTAATATATTAAAGTATGCAAATAATTATTTTGTTAAATATTTTTTCATTTTGTGTTTGTTTGGGAGCATTGTTGTAATTAGCATTAGCGGTTTTGATGGTTTTTTAATGGTGCAAATTAACTTTTAAAACTCTAAAGGCTACTACTAAATATACTTTTCAAAATGCTAAGGTTAATGCCAAACACACACTTCAACTCATTGTTCTTGGTATTTAATTTTTTTTAATTTATTGTTTGTAAATTTATATTTCAAATATCCATGTTTTTATTCATTTGATTAATTCGAAATGAAAGTTAAGTCAGTTTCCTTTTACCTTATTAGTGTTTCAAAGTGCTAAATGTTAGTACTTTGTAACATATTATACTCCCTTCGTGCGTATTTATCTGTCTGGGTTTTTCACTTTTCTTTGTTCCTTTTATCTACCCATTTGTGAAATCTATGCATAATAACTAGTCCCCCCTCCCCAATTTAACCTTTATACACTAATTCAATTTACACTTTTTCCACTAGGTTTTTCCAAGAGGTGCACTTTTTCCAAGAGGTACATTAATAAGATTAGGTTTAGAAAAACCTTGTCATCGTTAATCCCAACTGATTGGGATTGGTAGCTTTAAACTTGTAGTGACAATTAATTGTATAAATTTCAGTAACACTAAATTAATGCAAAAAGGCATAGGGCAATGCTTTGCACTGGATGCCCTTCGTGTCGCAACATTATTAAGAGTTAATGAGATGAACATTCTAAAATCATCTTCATCATATGTTATCTTTATTTTGTTTGTTGTGTATTTAAAATCGTGCAGTCAGACTAATGTGCACTTTTGTTTTTAAATAAATGAAATATCTAGCACCGGATATGATTAGTTTCTGTTCAAATAATTTAATTCACAACTTAATAATGTGAGACATCGACCTAAAAACATGAATAATATGCCACTAATATATGATGAGAAATATGACTATTTAAAGTTAAACGAGTTGTGTATTTGTTTAATTTGTGTATAAGTGTCTTGATAAGTATGAGTTTTTAGAACTTAGAATAGGTATGCATTTATTAATAACCAACAACCTTAGTTTAATCCCATCTCTGTTGGTGTCAACGAAAATCTATTCTTCTGAATGATAATATAATTGAACCTTTTATGTGGTGTTTTATTGAATTAATCTCTCAGGTGATAGACGTTTCTCGCCATGGAAAGGATCAGTAGTGGATTCAGTTGTTGGAGTCTTTTTAACTCAAAATGTTTCGGACTATCTATCCAGGTAAACATAACTTTTTTTGGTACTGTAATCTTTTGGTTTTTTCTAATGACATGCAATTAAGTTGAAAATATTTTTACAGCAATGCCTTTATGTCTCTTGCTGCCGAATTCCCTCCACCATCGAGGTGTAGTGATCATCAAGGGGAAACCCCGTGCAGTCAATCATTGGATTTATTAATCCCACAATCACCCAGAGCCTTCATCCCTTCGACTGAAGACAAAGAGATTGGCTCAATGGAAGATGGATGTGTGGTGGTAAATGTTCCTGTGGGACATGTTGCTTCTGGTTCCTCTCCCGATAAACACCAGATAGTCGCTCATGAGCCATCTACCATTGAAAAGTCTAATGTTCCAAAAGAAATTCCTAACTTTAAACAAAGTGATAAAGTGGAAAAAATGCTAAAACCCGATGTGGACTGGGAGGAATTGAGAAGAACCTATTGTAATTTAATCAGGACTCCGGGAATAAACTTGGATGCTGTTGATTGGGATGCAGTTAGACGTGCTCCTGTTGAAGAAATAGCAAAAATTATCGAGAGTAGAGGAATGAATAATGTTCTTGCAGCAAAGATTAAGGTAACCATTCTCAAATGATGAAAGCAAATTATTAATAGCCTTCCCTATGGAATCTACTCTTCAAAGGTTTATGTTATGATTCACCTTGTGGGTTGAAATATCCAGGCCTTCCTCCAGCGGTTGGTTCATGATCATGGAAGCGTTGACCTAGAGTGGCTAAAAGATATCCCTCCTGATAAAGCCAAGTATGTCACTAACTAATTGCTGACTGATATTAAAATATTTATAATAGAAAGCTATTGTTAACCTTTTGTAGTGGAATTTCATAACCATTTTATCCATGGAATGTCTCAAATTTCACTCATGCTTTTAGGGAATTTTTATTGAGCATAAGAGGGGTGGGTTTGAAGAGTACCGAGTGTGTGCGGCTTTTGACGCTTGGTCATCTTGCTTTTCCTGTATTTCCTTTTACTAAGACCTTTTACTTGCAAATTTCTTAGTTTGATTAGTTCTTTACAGTCTCATCATTTGAAGCATATACATCTTATTATTTGTCTTAAGGTCGATACAAATATTGCTCGAATAGCAGTGCGACTTGGATGGGTCCCTTTGGAACCACTGCCTGGGGATCTTCAGATACATTTACTAGAACAGTAAGTTCATGTTATCAACCCAGGTGAAGATACTGTTATCATTTATCATATGATTCCAGTAGATGCTGATGTTTTCTCCTGTTAGGTACCCCCAGATGGATGCCATTCAAAAGTATCTTTGGCCACGCCTTTGCACATTGGATAAAAATATATTGTAACAATCATTCCTCCTTGATAAAAATATCTTATAACAGACATGCATCTCTACAACGAAGCTTAATTTTCAGTGGTTTAAATATTATTTGCAGGTATGTATTGCATTACCAATTAATCACCTTTGGAAAGGTCAGTCACAGTCCAACGCAAGGCTTCTTATAGGCTAATTTAAATTTGCTTAGTTTCATTGCTCTTCTTTATATCACTGCCAGTCAACTACTATATACAGGTTATCTGTACGAAGAAGAATCCAAACTGTAATGCGTGCCCATTGAGAGCAGAGTGCAGACACTTTGCAAGCGCATTTGCTAGGTTTGCTTAAACCTAGCCTTTTAACTTTAAAATAGAATCTTACATTTGTTGCAAGAAAATAAAGATCTAAATGTGAAAATCAATGTGAGCCTTAGTAACAGCATCTCTACTTTCGAGTCGGGGCAAGGTCTGCGTACACACGCCCTCCCCGGACCCTACACTCGTGGGATCCAACTGGATTGTTGTTGTTTTTATTTGTTTTTGTTTTCCCTCGTTTTGTTATCAACCTTTGAAAACATAAAAACATGTTTGGTAGGCATGTTTTGTATATATAGTTTATGACTTTATGGTGCATTTCTTATAAACATTTTTTTCATAAAAATTTGAAATGTTTTATGAATGCTGTCAAAATCATACAGTTTTGAAAAAACTGAAACAGTCTCTCTGTTTTTACGGAGGCAAGGTTGTGCATGTCTTGACCCTCCCCAGACCTTGGCTGTTATTTCTTTCACTTTTTAGAAACTGGAGCAAAAGCAATACATTCAAACACATTATGATATTTGAAAACATTACATTTTCTGCTCCCAAAAAGTGAAAACGAGAAGAAAAATGGAAACAGAAACATTTCCAAAAAAACTAAACTTCTGTTTGTACAACAAATTTTTTAATTAATAATAAGTAAATAAAATAAATCATTTTA